TAATTTTTCTGTCCCGTCTTCAAACTGAGTAGCCCCAAGGGAATATGACCTCATTTAAAATATAATCTTCAAATTTTGTCTCCGTGAGTGCAACAATGTCTGGCGTCTGCAGCTGTATTACATCACCAGTGTCTTTGATAGATGGAGTGAAAGACACTTTGAGTCAGTGTCTTTCACTCCATCTATGTTGGTGTATACAATTTTCAGGAACATCTTCCCACTTCCCCTTTCTCTAGTGATTGTGTTGGTTTGCCTTTATGTATCATTTCACTGGCTTGCCTAACCCCTATTACCTTGTAGAAATAGAATTGATTTCTCCTTCGTTCCTGCTCTCATTAAAACGTTTTGACTCTACGAGGTTCAGTTTCACTTTCTCTCTCTCTGACTTCTTTTGAAAGATCTCATCTTAATGACCAGAATTTCCCTTCCTCAGCAGTTTGTAATTCTTCTTTTCTGCCTTCTGCCTCTTTTTTCACCCCTGACATATTTATTCCTGGCTCTCTGGTATCATATTCTGCTCTCAAGTGTCCTGTTATTTCTATAGTTTCTCCACACTCTTTTACTTTGTTGCTTAGCTAGCCTACATCTCAGATTAAACCATGGGTTTCTCATCTGCAATTCGTTTTTTTTTCTTTTTGGACCAGGACAAACTTGTCTGCTGCCTCCTTACACTTCTGCGTGATGTAGTCCATCATGTCTCTGGCCGTTTTCCCCTGAGCTCTGTTTCCCATGTTATATCTGTTAGGAATTTTCTTATCTCCTCATAGTTTCCCTTTCTGAATGCCAACCTTTTGTTTTCAGTTCCCATCCTTGAGTTCATTAACCCTTCTTCGACCAGATACTCAAACGTCAGTACACTGTGGTCGCTCATTCCTACTGGGCCCTCGAAACCGATTTCCCTTTTGTCGGAGTCGTTCAGAATGAAGACTAGGCGTGTGTGTATTTACCTAATTGTACTTACCGAATTGTGCTTGCGGGGGTTGAGCTCTGGCTCTTTGGTCCCGCCCCCCAACTGTCAATCAACTAATGTACAGAATATCAGCCTCTATCATATCTACACTCGAAGCTGTGTATGGAGTCAGCCTCCACCACGTCACTTCCTAATGCATTCTATTTGTCTACTATTTTGACACTGAAAAAATTCTTTCTAACGTTTCTATGGCTCATTTGGGCACTCAATTTCCACTAGTGTTCCTTAATGCGTGTGCCCCCTTGTGTTAAAAAAGTCTGTCTTTATCTACCCTATCAATTCCTCTGAGAATCATGTATGTGGTGATCATGTCCCCTCTAACTCTTCTGTCTCCCAGTGACGTGAGGTTTAATTCCCGTAGTCTCTTCGTAGCGCATACCCCTCAGTTCGGGTACTAGTCTGGTGGCAAACCTTTGAACCTTTTCCAGTTTATTCTTATGCTTGACTAGATATGAACTCCATGTTGGGACGCATACTCCAGGATTGGTCTGACATATGTGGTATATAATGTTCTGAAAGATTCCTTACACAAGTTTCTAAAAGCCGTTCTTATGTTAGCCAACCTGGCATATGCCGCTGATGTTATCCTCTTGATATGAGCTTCAGGGGACAGGTCTGGCGTGATTTCAACTCCCAGGTCTTTCTCTCTTTGACTCTTGAAGTATTTCATCTCCCAAATGATACTTTGTATCCGGTCTCCTGCTCCCTATACCTATCATCATTACATTACATTTGCTTGGGTTAAACTCTAACAACCATTTGTTCGACCATTCCTGCAGTTTGTCCAGGTCTTTTTGAAGCCTCAAGCTGTCCTCCTCTGTCTTAATCCTTCTCATAATTTTGGCGTCGTCAGCAAACATTGAGTGGAATGAGTCTATACCCTCTGGGAGATCATTTACGTATATCAGAAACAGGATAAGTCCAAGTACAGAGTCCTGTGGGACTCACTGGTGACTTCACGCCAATCTGAGGTCTCACCTCTCACTGAAACTCTGCTTTCTATTGCTTAGGTACTCCCTTATCCACTGGAGTGCTCTACCAGTTACTCCAGCTTATGCATCAGCCTTTTATGGGGGTACTGTGTCAAAGGCTTTCCAACAGTTCAAAAAAACTCAGTCCGCCCATACTTCTCTTTCTTCCTTAATCTTTGTCACCTGATCGTAGAATTCTATTAAGCCTGTAAGGCAAGATTTACCCTCCCTGAACCCATGTTGACAGATTGTCACGAAGTCTCTTCTCTCTAGATGTGTTACTAGGTTTTTTTCTCACGATCTTCTCCATCACCTTGCATGGTATACAAGTTAAGGACACTGGCCTGTAGTTCAGTGCCTCTTGTCTGTCACCCTTTTTGTATATTGGGACTACATTAGCCGTCTTCCATATTTCTGGTAGGTCCCCCCGTTTCCAGTGACCTACTATACACTATGGAGAGTGGCAAACAAAGTGCTCCTGCACACTCTTTCAATACCCATGGTGAGATTCCATCTGGCCCAACAGCCTTTCTCACGTCCAGCTCCAATAGGTGCCTCTTGACCTCATCTCTTGTAATTTCGAACCCTTCCAAGGTCGCCTGGTTTTCTGCCACCTCTCATAGCGCCGTGACCTCTCCTCGTTCTATTGTAAAGACCTCCTGGAACCTCTTGTTGAGTTCTTCACACACCTCTGTCATTCTCTGTGTACCTGTCCTCACCCGTTCTACGTTTCATCACCTGTTCCTTCACTGTTGTTTTCCTCCTGATGTGACTGTGCAGTAGCTTTGGTTCGGTCTTGGTTTTATTAGCTATATAATTTTCATACCTTTTCTCAGCTGCTCTTCTCACACTAACATACTCGTTCCTGGTTCTCTGGTATCTCTCTCTACTTTCTGGTGTTCTGTTATTATAGAAGTTCCTCCATGCCCTTTTGTTCAGCTCCTTTGCTTTCATACATTCCCTATTAAACCACAGATTCTTCTTTTGCTTCTCGTTTTCTTTCTGTCGGGCTGGGATAAACCTGTTTACCGCCTCCAGACACTTTTGGGTGACAAAGTCTATCATGTCTTGTACGGACTTAGTTCTGAGTTCTGTGTCCCATGGTTTATCCCTAAGGAATTTACTCATCTCCTCATTGTTTCCCTTTCGGTACGCCAGCCCTTTGTTTCCCAGTTCTTTTTGGGGGGAGATAATTCCTAGCTCAACCAGGTACTCAAAGCTCAATACACTAAGATCACTCATTCCCAAGGGGGCTTCCAACTTAACTTCCCTTATATCCGACTCATTTAGGGTAAATATCAGATCAAGCAAGGCTGGCTCATCCTCTCCTCTCATTTTTGTCGGTCCCTTGACGTGTTGACTTAGAAAGTTTCTTGTTGCCACGTCCAGCAGCTTAGCTCTCCAAGTGTCTGATCCTCCATGTGGGTCTCTGTTCTCCCAATCTATCTTCACGTGTGTGTGTGTTTGTGTGTGTGTGTGTACTCACCTAATTGTGCTTGCGGGGGTTGAGCTTTGGCTCTTTGGTCCCGCCTCTCAACTGCCAATCAACTGGTGTACAGATTCCTGAGCCTACTGGGCTCTATCATATCTACATTTGAAATTGTGTATGGAGTCAGCCTCCACCACATCACTTCCTAGTGATGTGTGTGTGTGTGTGTGTGTGTGTGTGTGTGTGTGTGTGTGTGTGTGTGTGTGTGTGTGTGTGTGTGTGTGTGTGTGTGTGTGTGTGTGTGTATTCACCTAGTTGTATTGTTACTGTTTCTTGTTTTTATTGTTTTTTGTTTTTGTTTGTATTGTTACTGTTACCTAGCAGTAAAATAGGTACCTGGGTGTTAGTCAGCTGTCATGGGCTGCTTCCTGGGAGTGGAGGCCTGGTCGAGGACCGGGCCGCGGGGACACTAAAAAGCCCCGAAATCATCTCAACATAACCTCAAGATATTCACTCAAGGGGAATGAGCTCTGCTCTTTCGGCCCGCCTCTCATCTGTCAATCAACTGTTACGAACTACTAATTTTTTTCCACACCACATACACACCAGGAAGCAGCCCGTGACAGCTGACTAACTCCCAGGTACCTATTTACTGCTAGGTAACAGGGGCATTAGGGTGAAAGAAACTCTGCCCATTGTTTCTCGCCGGCGCCCGGGATCGACCCCGGGACCACAGGATCACGCGCCCAGCGTGCTGTCCGCTCAGCCACCGGCTCCCACCGGTGTGTGTGAGTGTGTTAAAGAAGGTTCTAAATGCATGTATTTTTCCAGTGCCGTTTAGCAGGCCGGTGAATAAGGTCATTACTGTGGTACATTAAACATTTTGAGTGTTGTGAGTCTCAAGACTCACTTTGGGGAGGAACTGAGTAACTACCACAAGGCTACCCATCAGTATGAACCTGGCGACTCACCTTGATCAGGAACTTGGGGACTAGGTTGGGTTTCAACATGAACGTAAGTTCCGATATATATCAAAGTCTTCGTCTCAAGAACTTTGTGACAACCAACTTGTGCTAAGCTCAAAGTCACGGCCCACCTCAAGATGCATTCATCAGCTTGTAACTAATTGTGTATTATAATATTTTGTCCTCGTATATAAATTAATATTATAAATTGTATATTACAGTTGTGTGTATTGTTACGCATAGTTATTAATTTCATATGTCATATATCTGAAAATTATCCTCTGTTTTAACCTAACCAAACCTTAACCTAATCTAACTTGACCATGGATTGGGAGACGATACCAGCACTAAATATGTAATGGTTTAGATGAGATTATTTAGAGGGATAACAACCCGTTCTCAGGAAGGACGGGGTTGTTAATAATAATAAACAGGTGATTTTGGCAGCTGCATTAACGAGCATTTGGCCTTTGTTAATAAGGACGGGCTGGTGACACCCTCATGTCCTCGCTTGGCTCACACCCTCATGTCCTCGCTTGGCTCACACCCTCATGTCCTCGCTTGGCTCACACCCTCATGTCCTCGCTTGGCTCACACCCTCATGTCCTCGCTTGGCTCACACCCTCATGTCCTCGCTTGGCTCACACACTTGATGATTGACTCACCTTGAGCAGGAACTTGGTGATAGAGAGGAAGGAAGGTCTTCTCCTGGGCTCGTACCTCCAGCACCGTCTCATGACTTGTTGGAGTGGCAGGGGACAGTTCCTGGGACGGCCCAGAGTGGCGTACCGCTCCACCACAAGCCGGATCACCTCATCATTGGTTCGGTTCTATTAAAATAACATTAAACTAACATCACTGGGGAACGAACTAACTTCGGTATACTACTTCCTGAATGAACTTCGCCAATATACCATTTAAAAATATAATTTGTAATTAAAATATTTACCTGTGAACACATGCACATCCAAGTGCTAAATTTATATGCATTTTGCCATTGTTGAAAATATATGATTTTAATCAGTTGGATTTTAATCGAGTTACATATATACTCACCTAGTTGTATATGTACTCATCTTGTTGCGTTTGTACTCATCTTGTTGCGTTTGTACTCATCTTGTTGCGTTTGTACTCATCTTGTTGCGTTTGTACTGACCTAGTTGTGTTTGTACTGACCTAGTTGTGTTTGTACTAACATTGTTGTGTTTGTACTGACCTAGTTGTGTTTGTACTCACATAGTTGTGTTTGTACTGACCTAGTTGTGTTTGTACTCACCTAGTTGTGTTTGTACTAACATTGTTGTGTTTGTACTAACATTGTTATGTTTGTACTGACCTAGTTGTGTTTGTACTAACATTGTTGCGTTTGTACTCATCTTGTTGTGTTTGTACTGACCTAGTTGTGTTTGTACTAACATTGTTGTGTTTGTACTAACATTGTTGTGTTTGTACTCACATAGTTGTGTTTGTACTGACCTAGTTGTGTTTGTACTCACCTAGTTGTGTTTGTACTAACATTGTTGTGTTTGTACTAACATTGTTATGTTTGTACTGACCTAGTTGTGTTTGTACTAACATTGTTGTGTTTGTACTCACATAGTTGTGTTTGTACTGACCTAGTTGTGTTTGTACTCACCTAGTTGTGTTTGTACTCACCTAGTTGTGTTTGTACTAACATTATTGTGTTTGTACTAACATTGTTGTGTTTGTACTAACATTGTTGTGTTTGTACTCACCTAGTTGTGTTTGTACTCACCTAGTTGTGTTTGTACTCACCTAGTTGTGTTTGTACTCAGCTAGTTATGTTTGTACTCACCTAGTTATGTTTGTACTCACCTAGTTGTGTTTGTACTCACCTAGTTATGTTTATACTCACCTAGTTGTGTTTGTACTCGCCTAGTTGTGTTCGTACTCAACTAAATGTGTTTGTACTCACTTAGTTGTGTTTGTACTTAGTTGTGTTTGTATTCACCTATTTATTGGAATAATTTGATAAATAGAGAAGATTCACGCCTGAATCAGTGATCTAACTCATTCGGTCATATTCAAAACACATGTCTGTTAGAAAGATAGTTTCCAATGTATATACACAGACCCCTGAAGGATTCGAACTCAGATATGGTCGTTCGATGGTCATTCGAACTCAGTTATCCATTTATCCATCCACTTGTCTGTTTATATTTCCGTCCCTCTATTAATCCATCTGTCTTTTGTATGCATCCATCTATTTATCCAGCAATCCATACATCCATCTATCCATCTATCAATCCAGCCATCAATCTCTCCATCTACTCATTTATCTATGCAATCATCTATTCATCTACGGATTCATCTATCCATCCATCTGTCTCTAAATGTCTCTGTCTCTGTTCATCTGTTTCTGTTTGTCTCACTGTCTTTATCTCTGTCTCTCTTATACAATATATATTTTTGTTACCATTGTTGTGTGGAAGTCGCCGGAGGAAAGAAATTAGCAATGTGAAATATTATACAGTAGAATAGTTACCAAAGTTACTTTGAGAAAGTGTAGAGTGTTGACAAACCTCTGAGACTGTGGGAGAGTGTTTTTATGGAAGTAAAGGTATCTTATGGATAGCAGAAAATGAATTTTCAATTTCTCGAGATTAGAGAATATTGGTGCATATTACTATACATAAGTATTGTTTAGAAAAAGTTGTTTTGAAAATACTTAACTGAGTAACCAATGGGCAGTGACAAAAATGGCCCTGGGGTATATGTGTGTATATATATATATATATATATATATATATATATATATATATATATATATATATATATATATATATATATATATATATATATATATATATATATATATTTATATATATATATATATACTCCCTCTAGCTGGAAGAAGGGGGACCCATAGCCTCGGAGGAAACCACGCATAACGCATTAGAGGGAATGTTTAGATCCCCTCCAATACAGTTTCTGTGTGCTTTTCTCCTACCACCCCCTTCCTTAAATATTTTTTGTGCTTTATTATGCATTTGATGGTTACAAGATATACATGGGTTGATACAAAAATAATAATGCAAAAAGGTGCTTAAAGGTTATGGATCTCTTGAAAAACACAACAATGGGAAACATTGATGAATGTCACAGACATATATATATATATATATATATATATATATATATATATATATATATATATATATATATATATATATATATATATATATATATATATATATATTCTAACACGAATTTTCTCAATATTTCTTATGTTTCTTCTTACTGTCGATGATAATTGAAAAATCAGTTCTCCAAAATTCATTTTTATTTCTAGTCTGACGTGATGCTTGAACGCATTTCGTAATAACTTATTACATTTTCAAAGACTTTAGTTTACACAAACATAACTGTAACCTGAAAACACTAAACAGAGTTTTACTTATGCTGAACCCTTAAACAGCTTGTCTTATATACTCGCATTTCTTATATACTTGTCTTATATACCCTCCCCTCATCCTCTCCACCATCTCCCACTCCCACATCCTCCCTACCATTCTCCCTTCCCCCGTCCCCTCATCCTCCCCACCATTCCCCTCTCTCCTGTCCCCTAGTCCTTCCCCACCATTCTCCATTCCCCTGTCCCATCGTCCCCACTATCCCCAACACCCCCATCCCTTTCTCCTCCCCTTCCATCCCCCACTCCCATCCAATTGTCCTCCCCACCATTCCCCACTCCCTCATCCGATGCATTCCCAAATGATCTGATGTTTCTATAAAAAAATTGGGAACATCAAATGATCTGATGTTCCCATCACTGAAATATAAAATAACAGTTAATCAAATGAAAAACAATGAAAACATAACAAAATAAACTATACTCACGAAATGAACGGTATGGTAAAAACACAGCTCAATTCCAATGCAGTGTCACACAAATTAATTAAATCAAAATGAAAATAAATCAAAATCTATGAAAACTCAATTTATCAATGCAATCGGAAACACTGAAATGGTATCGTAACATATTTAGTATAGCATATGTTGCTCCTACGTGCAACAGATGGCGCTGTTTCTTAAAAAAGAATGTTTTTCCCTGTCACAGGTATGGAATCTATACTAATAATTACGAAATGAAAGGTATGGTAAACAACACAGCTCAATTCCAATGTAATGTCACAAAAAATAATTAAATCAAAATGAAAAGAAATCTAAATCTATGAAAACTCAACTTATAAATTTAATTGGAAACACTGAAATGGAATCATATAATATTTAGTATAGCGTGTGTTGCTATTACCTGCAACAGATGGCACTTTTAAAAAAAACATGTTTTTACCTGTCACAGGTGTAGCGTCTATATAGTAGGTATATAAAAACACGCTCGTATCCGAATGGAACGTTGTGTCAAAATTTCAATGCAATCGGTGAAGAACTTTCAGAGATTACAGGTTGTGTCACTCTTACATCCAACAGATGGTGCTGTTTTTCCAAAAAGCCTGTTTTTTCCTGCCACAGGTGAGGCATGTATGTAGTACATATATAAAAACATGCGCCTATTCGAATGCAGTGTTGTGTCAAAATTTCAAAGCAATCGGTAAAGAGGTTTCAAAGATTTCCCTCACATGAAAAAACATAAAAAAACACAGTTTTTCAAAAAAAGCATGTTTTTTCCTGTCACAGGCATGACATCTGTATAGTATGTATACATAAACCTGCTCGAATGCGAATGAAACGTTGTGTGAAAATTTCAAAGCAATCGGTGAAGAACTTTCGGAGATTAGCGATTTTAAACAAACGAACATTTCCATTTTTATTTACATAGATTAGTATATTTTGGTAGCAGTCTTTCTTATAAACATATGTTTTTGAATATGACCGAAAAGGTAAGATTCTAACACAAATCTTCTCAATATTTCTTATGTTTTTCTTCACTGTCGAAAATAGTTGAAATATTAACACTCCAAAGTTCATTTTCACACTTTATTTATGGTCTGACGCCTAGAAGCATTTTGTAAGACACGTCTTACATTCTCAAAGACATTTTTACTTTCTCCGTTAATGCCTATATTCGTTTTTGGGGTGAGGTGATAAGACATATATCAATGGGTACATTGATTCGATCCTTAGTTATGGCAGAAACAAAATGGGCAGAGTTTCTTTCACCCTGATGCCCCTGTTACCTAGCAGTAAATAGGTACCTGGGAGTTAGACAGCTGTTACGGGCAGCTTCCGTGTGTGTACTCACCTATACTCACCTATTTGTGCTTGCGGGGGTTGAGCTCTGGCTCTTTGGTCCCACCTCTCAACTGTCAATCAACTGGTGTACAGGTTCCTGAGCCTATTGGGCTCTATCATATCTACACATGAAACTGTGTATGGAGTCAGCTTCCACCACATCACTGCCTAATGCATTCCATTTGTCAACCACTCTGACACTAAAAAAATTCTTTCTAATATCTCTGTGGCTCATTTGGGCACTCAGTTTCCACCTGTGTCCCCTAGTGCGTGTGCTCCTTGTGTTAAATAGCCCGTGTGTGTGTGTGTGTGTGTGTGTGTGTGTGTGTGTGTGTGTGTGTGTGTGTGTGTGTGTGTGTGTGTGTGTGTGTGTGTGTGTGTGTGTGTGTGTGTGTGTGTGAGAGACAGAGAGAGTGTGTTTGTGTGTGTGTGTGTGTGTGTGTGTGTGTGTGTGTGTGTGTGTGTGTGTGTGTGTGTGTGTGTGTGTGTGTGTGTGTGTGTGTGTGTGAGTGTGTGTGTGTGTGTTTATGGAATAAAAATTGTTAGTAGTTGAGAGGCGGGCCGAAAGAGCAGAGCTCAACCCCCGCAAGCACAACTAGGTGAATACAAACACTAA